CTTCTATTTACATTTGTCTAGATGCTTGTATTCTCCATTCTATTTAAAGTAAATGACATAATTTTGCAAAAGCTCTTCTATCCATTCTAATATTATCTACATACTATCTATCGCTCTTAAAAATCATTACATTTAAGTTTAACTTTTTAATATGTAGCCTATCATAAGATGTTCCACCATAAGATAGTCTATGTCATTTCTAAGGTTCATATCAAATAAAGATATAACAACAAAACATAACACATGCAACGAAGTCTCTATCTAATTCAAATGCATTATAAACAATGTAACCAAATGCATCTTCGTTCTTAGTAATAAACGAGCCATAACTGTTTAGAAGATAAAATCTCATTAAGTTGAAACATAATGGAAAAACAAATCTTTGCATATGGTAGATGGAATCTATCAAATATAAAAAAAAAATAAATCATTAACAAAATATTTGTGGATGAAGTAGCTAAAACCAAAATGAATAACACATTTGATATATCAAAATAGTTTTCATCTAAATCTAAACGAATCTAAAAAGAGGAAAAAGAAAAGATTAGAACGCAACATATAATGCAGAACAGATAATTAGGTATCAAATAGTATACACACAATTTTTTTGAAAAAGAAATGCAGATAAACTTAATAAGATGAAGATTAAATGATGGATGTTGAAATTGAAGTTAGTTCAAATAAAAAAGTATTTGCTTTGAGCTCAAATATGTTGAAATAAAAATAAAAATGTATTAGTTATTAAAACATAATGAAAACATCAATTAAGGAATTTCATATATAGAAATGCCTTATTTCATGTATTAAATATAGATTCTTCTGAATTTTATTAGATATTACAATGTTCATATTGTCAGAACATGGTCTTTGAGAAGGAAAATAAAATTTTAATATGCGGCAATTACGGTGTTTGAAGAAAAAAATGCCTTAATTGAGAAGGAAAGTTAAATTTTAATATGATTCATTTACTGCGTGTCAACATTTGACCATTTTAATTTATTATCAATTAAAGTATTTTTCCATTTAGATGCCATAATAGCCATTTGAGTCTTTATCAAACTGTTATTGATAATCAATCATTTTATAACACGGCCTTCAAGACCCTAAACAAAATTTTAATAAGTGGCTATAGAAATGCCCTAATAGCCATTTTAATCTTTATTAAATGCAAGATCATCTATCAAATAAGTCATATGCACCATCTAATCATCGTAAGTGATAAGCAATTAAGGCATTTTCACATCTAAATGCCTTAATAACCACTTACATCATAAATGTGTGGCACACTAAATAAGGCATATGTACCACAAAAACCCCATAATAGGAACTGAATAGGATGTTTTGGAAAACTAAAAAATTGTACCAATTACAACATCTTATTTAAAAGAAATGCTGCAATTGAATTTTTTTTAAAAAAAAAGCTATGACTAAGTTCCAAACTTGCTTTTTAAAAGAGTAATGAATATGTGTACGGTTTTTATTAAGGTTAAATTTGGAAATAAAACAATTTTTCCCTCTTCAAAATCCTAAAATATCATAGAAAGGGGTAGATTTCTAAATCCAAAGCTTTGGATACCACTAGGGATCTAATATTTTCTCCTGTAATTAGATTACCCTAAATCAAACGTAAGAAATAAATACCTATTATTAAGATTTTGGGAAAAAATTTACGGATTTATCTGAATCAAATGCATTTTTAAAGGTATGTAAATATTTATTTTATGATATAAATCATCATTCAACAATTTTTTATTTTGTGTGTTTATTTAGAAAAATAATATATTATGTACGTTTAATTTTTTTCATTTTGATACACATTTTTTTTAAAATTTTTCTCTCAGTAAAATCATAATAGTGATAGTATTCTAAACTATCCTTTACAATCATTAATTAAAAGGAAAAAAAAACTATTATGGCTGATTATTTTTAGAATAAAATACATCCATTTTATACCTTAAGTCAAGGAAAGTATTTGGAGATTTTTCATCATTTTGTGGATTAAATATTACTTTATTTTCAAGTTCAAAATCGACCATCACACAAATTCAAAAGATGCTTAATAAAGAAAAAAAACTTCATATCCATTTGGAGAAATTTAAAACGTAATTACTAGTTTAATAGTTTTTTTTTAGTAAATATCTTTATTCATTCATTAACAGGTAAATATACCTGTAGGACATTCCATAAACATAAATTTTTCATAAGCCTTACAAATAGTCAAAATATTCTCTATAAGCTCAAAATCAAGATATTATAATTGAAATTCCTAAAAAACAATACATTAACTTGAGTAAGTATTTACTTACATTATTTAAACGCATTAGCTAAGTACATATAATTTATCTTGACTTGATATAAATTTATAGGTGTACAAATATTATTGCAAATAAAATGGTGCAAATTGAACAAATTTGATTTTGTTTCAAAAGAGATTTTTGTTTATTTATTTTTTTCTTAATAATATTGTGTATTATATATTGTCAAATTTCTTTTAAAAAGTTAACTTTTATGAGATATCAATTGGATATATAAACTTTATACATGTTATAAATATTGAAAACTTTAGTATAACTTTGTAAATAATGCTACTATGTATGTAACATACATATTTAAATAAATAAAACTAATTCGTGTATTACACAAGTTGCAAGTTAGTTAATAGTACAATCCAAATCTATTTAGATTTGTCCAAATAATTTTTTTTTTAAAATTAGAAACATTGTATATAATTTTTATTAATTTAATCTTTAATCTTTTTTTTCACTAAGTTTTAAAATGTGGATAACTTAAAAAACTTTTTAATGTTTACAATATAATATTATGTATTTATCTTTGGGAAAATGATCAAATTTATCAGTACATTAGATTGGAGGCTCCACATTTATCATTTTACATTTTTAATAAAATTTTACAATCCTACTACATTTTTTATGCAATTTTAGTCATCCATTGATGAAAATAAAATATTCCATCTAAATTAAATAATATTCCATAAAAATTTTGATTTTTTTAATTTTATTGTATGAAAAATAAAGAAGACTTGATTTTAAATTCCCAAAAAGCATAATACCAACAATTAAATAAAAATAAATTAATTAAATTCTTTTTAAAAATAAGAATAATGCCACTATTTTTTAGTTTATGTTTTATAATATATTTTTAGTTTGTTTTGAAAAGGAAATTTCCAAGTAAAATTTTAAATGAGTTTTGATTTTTTTTTTATTGGCTTCTTTAGCCAAATTTGCTGTGGATTTTAAAACACAAAATTCGCGGCAAAACATTTTTTTCTTAAAAGTAATTGAAATATTGTTTAAATTAATTTGTTTTAGTTACATTAATTATTCCTTTAATTTACACTTCTCTAACGATGCAATTAGATTCTTTTCGACAGCCAAAAAAAAATGTATTTGATAAATGTAGTTTTCTGGTTGTCAAATCAATTTGATTATTTTCTGAATACCAAAAAAACAACTTGATTTTTCTGAAAATTGCAGCATTTGAGAATTTTTTTAAGGCTTAAGATATAAAAATTTTTGAATTATAATTAAAAATTATTCAAGCTCTTAATTTTTTATTCTAATTAATTAATTCTTCCAACATTTTTTGTAATTAATTAAATTTTTACTTGAATAAAAAAATTAATATCTTTAATTTTTTAATTAAGATAAATTTTAGATGACATCAATAAATAAATAAAAATTTGTCACATCGTATAACTAATATATGTAAAAATTAAATAAAATTATTTTTTTTAATTTTTTTCTTCTATTTATTCTCTTCCTCTCTAAAATTATTCAAAAATTAATTAATTAAATTTTGTCATATAATTAGATTTCATTTATTTAAAGGTTTAATTGAATCAGAATAAAAAATTAAAAATTTAATTAAATGTAATAAAATAATAAAAATTTAAATAATTATTAAATTACAATTCACGGATTTTTTTAATCCTTTAACTATTTGTTAATATGCACCTCAAATTCTGCATAAAAAACAAATATAAAATATACACTAAAATTGGCCGTATTGTTGATATTTAAAAAATAATTATTTTTATTTTTACTAAATTACCTTTATTTGAAATTTAATATAAAGTATTTTTACTTTTTATATAATAAAAATTAAAAATCATTTGAAATTTTTAATAGAATATTTTTTAGTTTAGATGAAATATTTTATTTTTATTCATAATTTATTAAAATTGTATAAAAAATACAATAAGATGATAAAATTGTAGAAAAAAATAAAATGCCCCTATAGTAATAAATTAAACGTTTTCCCTCTATCTTTTTATATAATATGTAAACAAAAAGATAATATATTATATATAGTTTGGATCGAATGGAATTGGATTTAATTTTGAATGTTGGAATTAAAATATGATATGATATGTTATCTTAAATGAAGTTTATTGGTTTTTTGTTTCGACCTATTTAATAAATTTAATATTTTTTTCAAAACCTTTTGCAATAAATTTTTGACTTCGACGGTCATGTCTATATATATACACTATTAATTTCATATTTATTATTATTACTATTTTGTTTAGACAATTTTAGTGACAAAAAAATTGGTATTACTATATTTTTTATAATGATTTTGTTGACAAAAAAATTATTTTTTAAGATGTAAAACAAGAGAAAACAAAGAAAACTCTTTGTCAACAATATTAGAAGGATAAAATTATATAAAATTTTTTAGATAAAATTTGTAAATTTTTTTTAAATGATTTAATAAAATTTTTAATAAAAAATTTAAATTGATAAATTAATAAAATTAAATATGAAAATTAATAATATATAAAAAAATATTTAAAATATTATTTATAAGCTAAATTTAATCTATCTTTAATTAATGATAAAAATTTTATTAATATTTTTATTAAAAATATTTATCTAGAAAAAATATCGAATTTATTAAATCTTTTTAAAATTTTATACTCTATGCATCGAAAACTTTAAATTTATCATTTTAATTTTTATTTAATAATTTCCAATAAAAAATTTCAGAAAATTTTTCTTTCGCATCAAAAGTCTTTCCGGTATTATAGAGCGCAAGTGCATAAAAAACAGAGAGGCGTGTTGGAGTTCTCCACTGGAAAACCAAGGTAAGAGGGAGTGAGCAAAGGATTGAGCGTTGACTCTTGATTGTATCGACGAAATGGTACAATCTTCTCTATTTTCCTTTGCTTCCTTCCATTAGTCTGATTTCACATGTTTTAATGAAGAATGATTACGAATTAATGGTGTTCATACAGGCACTTGAGGAGAAGAAACTGAAGCTGTATTCCTACTGGAGGAGCTCCTGCTCTTACCGTATCCGAATTGCCCTTAACCTCAAAGGTACCTTCCTTTTTCTCCTTTTTAATCTATTATTCAATTACTTTTGGCTTCTGGGTTCTTCTTCTTCTTCTTCTTTTTGGCAGGTCTGGAGTACCAGTACATACCTGTTAACTTGCTCAAGGGGGAGCAATTCAGTCCTGGTCAGACTCTTATTTTCTTGTTCATACAAGCTCTGTTTTTACTGTTTTGTTTCTGTTCATTAATTTCTGTAACTAAAATGCTTAAATTTGAAAATGGGTAGAATTCCAAAAGCTGAATCCTATTGGCTATGTACCGGTGCTGGTGGATGGTGACATTATAATTTCAGACTCTTTTGCAATTTTTATGGTCATTTTTCTTTTCCCTTATGTTCTTTTTTTTACTCTAATACGTTTATTACTTAGCTTGGATTATTATTATAGTTTTTAATAAATGTGGAACTAAACCAACAGTATCTGGAGGAGAAATACCCTCAACCTCCACTATTGCCATCTGATCTTCAAAAGAAGGCACTCAATATCCAGGTCTCTACTTTCCTTTTTTCTTCATTTCTAGTTACTCCATTCTTCACACTTTTTTTTGTTTATTTTTATAGACAGAGTTGGTTATGTTCTGTGTATTTTTGCTAGCCAAAGCATGGCCATGAAACTTGTTTTAAACCGCAGGGCTTTGTATGATTAATTAACTAGTTAATCTATCTTAGAACGGTAGATTCTAGGCTCTGGCTCCAACTTTTAGCTCCAATGATAAACCATCGAGCAAGTAGTTGCTCTGACTATGAATAACTTGCTAATTCAAATTGTACATTTGTTTTCTCACCAAAGCTTTGCATTATCTACTCTGCCGTGCCTCAACTATGTTTTACTAAACTATGCTACATTAATGACTTATCACATCATTTTGTAGGCTGCAAATATTGTTTGCTCGAGCATACAGCCTCTTCAGAATCTAGCTGTACTGGTTCGTCCCTAAGTGAAGTCGCCTCTTTATGTATTCATTTCATTTTGAAAACAGGCAGATGCTTTTGTTGCCATTACTGAAATATACAGGAATTGCATTTAATTTGCCACTTTTTCCTTTACAGAAGTACATTGGGGAAAAAGTAAGTCCAGATGATACAATTCCGTGGGCAAAATTTCATATTGAGAAGGGCTTTGAAGGTAAGCTATATCTAAGGTGTTATCAAATAACTATCCTCCTTACGTGAAGGGCCATGAGGGTTACTAAAGAAATTTTAAAAAAAGGGAAAAAAGAACCATGATAGGGAAATCAAAAAAGAAAAAAGAGTGGTTATAAATGGTGAAATTCACATTATAAATTTCAAGTTACCAGTGACTGTAAAAGCTAGCTGCTCATAAACACAATTACACCATGTAAAAGCTAGAATTGCTTTGTAGACAAGCAGCGTTGCAAACAACATTCATGCAATGGTTTCAGTTGAAACTAGCTGTCTTAGCAATATGCCCATATCAGTTAGATAATATGAATATGCAGGTACATCTAATGAAAAGATAATCTGCCAAAATGTTACCATATTGTATATCTAGAAATAGTTGTGCATGTAGTCTCCAAGAACAAAAGATATGGGACAGACCAGATGGCATCAAATAATGGTTTTAATTATCTGTTTTGGTTTTCGAAACTGTCAAAATTTGGTAGTTCATAAGATGAATAGCATCCCCTATTTATACCATCCAATGCCTTGATAAATGTCGGTAGCATTGGGAAATGCTTCTCACATGTGAATAAAAATTCTTTTTTGACTTTGAAAGTTTTGAAATCTTGTCTAAGCAAAATTTTTTAGCTATGGAAAAGATTTCTTGTTTGAGTAAGATTCTTAACTGGTAGAAGGACCATAGGTCATACCTAATATATGTAATCTATTTGCACAAAATGAGCTATTTTTTGATGTCTCGGGTGAAAATGGAGGGCATAAAGTTCAGAAACATTTATAAGGTTCAGTATTAGTGACTTAGAATTTTATGGTAGTTCTCACATTTTACCAACAGAAACTTGAAAATGAAATGGAAATTCAAATTCTGAACTGTTGGAAGATTGGATCTGAAGTTTAATTTATGACTGTTGTTGCTTCCTCTAATGGATTTAGCATTAGATTTGATTAATGCTTCTGTGTTTCAGCACTCGAGAAGCTGTTAAAAGACCATGCTGGAAGATATGCAACTGGAGATGAAGTTTTCATGGTTTGTTTCTTTCTCTCCTGTTTTTATCAATGCAACTTCATGCCCAATGTTCACTAAAACATGCAGACACTTTGTGCCTGTGAGATTTTGGAAGGATTTTATATTTTTTGCATAATGCCAAGAGGGGTTTTAATATCACCTTGTATGAATGTGGTTTGATCGATTTGTAGATTGAGACAACCAAGGGTTGGGGAAAGGGGAAAGGGGAAAGGGGGGGGGGGGGGGGTGGGTTGTGACTCTTTGGTTAGGAAGCCTGCAATCTGAGTTCTGGTGAAAACTGTTACCATCTCCTGCAGCAATATTTCTTGTGGAAAGTACAAAGCAGTTGCACTTTAGGCAGCAACTAGATGCAGTTCTGCCCCTGAACCATGGCTTTGGATTTTGAAGTGCAATGAGTTAGCCATAGCTCTAATTTCTGTTTGATGTTAGCTAATATCACCTTGAGTTACTTATTCTGTCATTTTAAAGTTCAGTCCTAATGTACCATAGTGTAAGATATTCCTGAAACTATTCGCCTGGATTAGAAATCTTCTGAATGTATACACAAATATCACCTGTTGGCTATTCTTTGCAGGCGGATCTGTTTTTAGCTCCACAGATTGATGCTGGAATTAAAAGATTCAATGTTGACATGGTAGTGTTCTTTTTCCATGGACTTCCAGTTTCCGCATCTACTTGATGGCTATTTGCATTAACTCGTTTAAAGTTTCCATTCTTCTACACACACACACATATACACATATGCTTTGCTTTTCCAAGTGTTTAGAATTGCTCCTATGTATAAGAGATTTCTGCAGAGAGTGGAGTTAGAGGGAGAAATATTGCTTCATATATGACCATTTTAAATCTTAGGCGTTTACTGCTAGCATTCCATTTTTTATATAGTTTTATCACGGTTCCAAGTCCTCAAGAAAGAGATATCTCTTTTATGCCTTACCTCCAATGTTTTCTTTCAGGCATCTGGTAACATTGCGTTTTCTTCTCTTATTTTTTTGTAGGCTAAATTCCCGATTTTATCTCGGTTGAATAAGGCATATAGTGAGTTAGAGCAATTCCAAAATGCTATGCCTTCGAATCAGCCAGATGCTCCTTCAGCATAGAGCATTTGTTAAACTGGTCGATTGATGAGGTACATATATATTGCTCAATGGTCCTTCTGTTCGGTGGCTGAAAATCTTGAATGTTCAGCGTTCCAATTGTTTTTTACTTTATAAATGCCAGTTTCTGCTCATGTTTACTCCATCCCTTCCCCTTCCTAGGAAGTGGAAATTGGGGGAAACAATGTGGTGGATAAAGTCAAATGACCATTTCTTCATCCATTAAATGGAATCTCAATTGTTTGGCATTTGATGATTGAGAGTATGATCTGTTTATTTTCCTCTCTGAAATCTGATGAAGATGATAAAACATTTTTTATTCAGAGGAGATGCTTTATTAATCGACGAGAAATGGTTACAAAAGATCTCCATGTAGATGAAATTGATCAATTAATAACTTATGTTAAAGCTTACTATTTTCTATTTTCTGCCTAACTCAGGTTTAATACCAAACTCATCTACAAAAATCAAAATTGCTGCATGAAGTGTCACCAATGAAGCTTAAAGGTAGCACCTTTGGGGCATAATTTGTACTGGTAAGTTACAACAGGGGCTTTCTTATTGCTTGTTCCATGATATGACCAACGATAATAAGGATTATAGGGTCCAGAAGTTAATGTAAGATGCTTATATGTAATATATACATGTTCATCTGAAGTTTCATTGAAGTTCAATTTGGTGGTTTTGTTCTCCCATGTGCATGATATTTCCGTCTGCAGAAGTATGTTTAACCTTTGTTTATTTCATTTGATTCTCTTGCTTTTCATGAAACCATGGAGAACTTTATGTGCGTGTGTAATTGTGTTGGTGGACTACAATTCTCGGAAAAAGAAATACAAACCAAGCAATCCATCAATTTTTGCTTTAAAAAAAAAAAAAAAACCAGGTTTGTGGTTTGAGACCTGTGAGTACTTTTGATGGGAAAAGAAGGATTCTGACTTTAACTGTTTGAGCATGTGAGATATTTTTCTTTTTCTTTTAATCAGTTCCATGGACTTCCCATAGGAGCTGCTAGGCCTAGCATTTCTGATTCCTGCAATAACAATATGTTTCCATCTGCAAAAATCGAGTGATATATTTCTTCAACATCTTTGAGCATATGAGAATAGGATAATTGTCTTTTCTTTTTTCTTTTTTTTTTTTTTCATTTGAACATTAAATTTGATTTAAAATGAAAATAAAAATGAAAAACAAAGAATTCTTAATAAATATAGTTTTTGATCCTAAGTTATAAACGTGACGAAGTCTTAGAGTGAATTGTTAAGGAAAGCAATTACCTTTGAGAGAACAACCTATAAATTTTGACCCACTTGGGTGGTTAAATAAGGGCCTACAAGAGATTCCAACATATTCTTATTCGGTATTTACAAAAGAACCTATGAGATAATTGAAACATATTTATTCTATTTAGATGGCTTATTAGAATCCTAACCATTTCCATTTGAGAATTGACCAAGTCAATGACTACTACATTAACAAGGATTAAAGTCATATTAGGATCATTCACTTTATAAAATATTTTAATACGGCACATTTATTTTTAAAATGTTTAATGTGATACATATACTATTATTTTGTTTGATAATCCAATACTCCAGGTTAACATCATTAATTAAAAATTATGATATGGCTTTTACTAATCAAATGTTGTCACATGGCAAATAATGCCGCATCTTTATTTCACATCAAGTGTTATAATTTTAAAAAATATAAAAAATAAATTTTTTTTTTGAAAAATAAAATCATATATTTTATAAAGTAATTTTTATCACAAAATTCTAAAAATAACAATGATTTTTTAAAAAATATATTTTTATTCTCCTTTTCTTCTTCCATTGCTTTTTTATTTCAAAAATTAAAAAACCAAAATTTTTAAAAATATACTTTATTATTTAAAATAAAAACCATTCTATGCAAAGTTTGATGCTTTTAAGATCTTAGTTTTTTTTTTCCTTGGTTTTAAATTTTTATACTTTTTACTTGACATGTTTTGCTATATCTTTATTTGAATTTCTCTGAAAGGTTTTACTTTGATATTTTAAGTTTTCTCTGCTTTTGGCTGTATGGAAATGATTTTATTGTTCTTTAGAAGTATTATTTTGGATCCATTTTGGTTAGTGAAATTGAGAAAAGATTATTTTCACTACTTAAATGTAATAGAAGTTTTCATAACTTTATTCAAAGATGCATAATGTATTTTTCAACTAAATTTATAATTAAAATTGAATGATTTTAAATTATGAAAATAAATAAAAAATAATTAAGAAGATAAAAAATAATTTGGATAAATTTTAATCATAAATTTAGTTGAAAGAGCATTATTCACCCTTAGATAAAGTAATTGAAACTTTTACTACTTTTTAAATAGGGGCCTTCTAAATACACCACAAAATTTTCTTTATATACTTCCAAAATTTTCTTCTAAAAATACCTATATAGGAAATATTAATTTTAACCTTTAGTAAATGACAAAAATACCATCAATAACTTATATTCTCACAACCACCTTTGTATGTCTCAAAAACAAATTTTCGAGAGTTATACTATATTCTTGGTAATCTATTTTCGAAAAAAAAAAATGATTCTCAAAAATAAATTTTTCGAAAAATACCCTCAATAGCCTATAATCTCAAAACCACCTTTGTATATCTTGAAAATAAATTTTTGAGAGTTATATTGTGTTTTTTATAATCCATTTCCAATAAAGAAATATGATTCTATGAAATGGATTTTCAAAAAATGCAATATAATTCTCAAAAATGAATTTCTGATAATTATATTGTGTTCTCGAAAATTGACTTTTCAAGAATCATCTTGTATTCTCGTAAATTTGTTTTTGAAATATATAAATTTTTGTTTAAATATATATTTAATTATAAATTCTTGATAACATTTAACTTTAATTTAAATAAAATAAATACATTTAATCTTAAAATAAATATACTAAAATAAATAGAGACCTCTAATTTTTGAGCTACTAATAATGTCATCAACAAACTAACAAATCCAATAGTAAGGATTGATAGCTAAAAGATTAGAAGTCCTTACTATTGGATTTTTCAATCTGCTAATAATAGGGTCAATGTTTTATAGAGTATTCAAGCTCGGACTAGCATGCATGCACACACATGAATCATCAATGTGCCTATTTTTATTTGATCATATGTGCAAATTGAAAAGATATGTTAGTTCTCAAGGATGTATGGGCATAAAGGTGTTTTTGTCTTGAGATCAGAAAATCAAGGATACCATTTTGCCTATACAAAACCAAAAAACCAGAAATGGGTCTTCTCGTTTTTCTGGAGTCTCAAGAGAAAAAACAAATTTATGCTATGCATGTTAAAAATATCGATTTTAGTTTCATTCGCACACATGATCAAGTAAACAAGTTCATAAACACATTATTAAAATTTTTAGTAATTAAAAGTGAAATTAAATTTTTAAAAAATAAATATCCGAAAAGATTGAAAGATTCTCAGATATTCATTTTCGAGAATATTCAAGGCTTTTTGAAAAGTGATATCCGAGAAGCTTTCAGTCTTCTCGAAAATGAATATTTGAGATTTTTTATGCTATTTGAAAATGAATATAAAAGAATCCTTAAAACTTTTCATATATCTATTTCCAAGAAGTCTTAAAGCTTTTTGAATATCATGTGCAAAAAGCTAAACGTCAAAAAGTGAAGAGAGAATTAAAGAAAAAATGTAGGAACGAAAAATAAAAACTAAGGAGTGGAGTGTATTTAGTAGAAATAAAAAATTGAGTTTTAAATTTATGAGGTATTTAGAAGTGGGATATATAGAGTAATAAATATGATGTAAATAAAATTCCCCTTTAAATAATGGAGAAGATGCTTTCTCACTTAAATGCGTCTAAATTAATATGAGAAATTATCAAATATATTAATAATAGAGATTTTAAATTTCATACACCGGGTTAATAGGATGACTTATATACTTTGAGATATTATTAAAAAATTATTTAAAATTAATTAAAAGAAGAAACTAATTATGTGAGGTTTTTAATTTCACTTGTGAAATTAAAAAACTTCACTCACCGTGTATCAAATAATTTTTTTATTTATATTATTTATTTGTTTAATTGAGAAAAGTTAAATTTTGAATTTTGAATAGAATTTGATTTGGTTTTAAATTGTTCAGGCAATCAACTATTACGTCTTAGTACTTACTAAAATTTTCATGCTATCATGGCTAATATTTTCTTTGTGTAAACTTTTTCTTGATTTTCAATTTTTTTTTTTTTATCATTTTAGTCTCTATGGAATAGGAAAATAGATGATACTTAACTGAAAGTGTCCACAAAATCAAGTTTATTAATGGGTCTGTTTCAACTCGATTCTTGATTCAAACCCTAAACATAATGTTTTAAGTTCTTGACCAAAAATTGTTTTATATAAATACATATATATTCATTCAAAATATAAATATATATATATATATTTGAATATAATATTTTGTAAAAGATAATTAATTAAAATAGTTAAATAATAAGTTCTATTGAAAACTTTTTTTTCATCAAGAACTCAAAATGTAAAAATATTAATGATATTGGTTAAGTACTATTTGTCCTTTGGTACATATTACTTAATATGATATTTCTTCAGTCGATCTAAAAATGTTTCATCATAATTGAAGTAGATTGAGAATTTTCGAAGTTAACCTCTTACACTATCCCGCCGTTTTCAGTGCTCTGTTCGATCTAAATAAAAACAAGTCATTTGCCAAACTTTTTGTGCATATAAATTTTTCAAATCTGTCCAAAAACTGGATTTCATAAAAGCTTGGCACCAGACATGAGGTACAAACCAGTCTTCACTGTACTTAACTGTGATAAAAGATAATTTTAATTACAACGAGTTTGTAGGCAAAGGGTGGAAGAAGCATGCCCAAGTTAAGCTGCAATCAGAACCCGCAACCACAGTTTTTCAAGAACGCTGCGGTTGCCGTGGTGCAAGACTTGCGAGTAATCTACCCAGTTGGACATGTAAAGCATTAGCGCCATATGCTCAAGTTTGGCCAAAAGTTTAAACACCAATTGCTTAACTGCTCAGTCTTTCCTCGAACGGATTGTTGACGTCGCACTGAAATAACAATTTTAAGCATTCAAGTGAGAATCTTTTACCAACCTGAAAGGCCATGAACATGTATTTAAACATCGCACGTGTGAAAGGCCAACAACATGTACTTAAATATTGTGTGTGTATCCAAACTTAGCTCAAGCACTGTCAGAAGAAAAGCAATGTTTTGATTGATCAAATTATCAATTAATTTCCTTGTTGCATTAACATCAATACTGGATGATCCCAGATGCTACCTACATATGATGACATCTTTAGCCTGCAGAAGAAACCGCATCATCTGAATCCACCTTTAGCTGAAAACAGAGTGAATTTGTGCCAAATGGTCAGCAGTGAGAACAAAAATGATCCAAAAGAGCCACCAGCATTCGATAGAACATACCTGCTTGAGATGATTTAGCAAAGCTCCATGCAGTAGCCTTTTCAGCTTATCGCACTGATCAACCATGTGACCTGAATTGATCAATCCCTCTAGTTGGCACCAAAGCCGCTCTAATGTGTTATACGGGAACCATACTACGGATGGTCGCTTGCGAGTAATTATGTCTACTGGTCTCTGCAAAAGGTTTA